TCCGCTCCATCTTCCAGCCCAAGGCTCCCGCCTGCGCCGCCGTCCAGGTGCCTCTGGTCACACCAAAGCCCTCCCCGCGCAAAAAGCAGGGCCCCGGGTTCTTGACTTTGTCCGACTTCGCCAGGCGCAGTAGCTACGTGGAGTACGTGCAGGAGAGCCTCAAGCCGGGGATGATGGTGCGCATGATGGAGGACTACGAGGAGATCAGCGCTGGGGACGAGGGCGAGTTCCGGCAGAGCAATAACGGGATGCCCCCCGTGCAGGTGAGTGCCCGAGGAATGGAGGAGCGTGGGACTGGCAGAGAGTAAGGGAGGAGGGTGAAACACTGCAAGTGGCATTGCTTCCCATCCTTCCTGGTAAAACGTCCCTGCCCCTGAGAGCTCTGGTCCCAGGTGTTTGGCTTGGACTCTCTGTAGCTGGCTTCCTTTGATCCACAAACAGGCTGTGCTCCCCTGGCCGAGGGTGAACAGGTTTTTCATCCACGCGCTTCCCGTTTAGGAGAGCCAGCTGCAAGTGAGAGTCTGGTCTGGGGGGCTCCCTTCGCACTCTGCATGTGCAGAGCGGCATGTGCTTGGTGCAAGGTCAGACCTGCAGACAGAGCCCACCTGACTCGGGAGAAACTTAAGCAGTGTCTCCAAGAGAAGTTTGCCGCTATGCCTACAGCAGATGATGATGATGACAATTTCTGAGATTCAAGGCTGCCATTCTCTCAGCATGTGCTGAGTCCATTGGCTATGTCACCCGCCATCACCAAGATTGGTTTGATGAGAATGATGCTGAGATTCAGGGCCTGCTTGACGAGAAGAGAGAAGCTCATCGCATGTGGCAAAATGACATATCATGCCAGCAGAAGAAAGTCATTCAAGCAACTCAAGGCTGAAGCCCTAAGGAAAATCTGTGTCATCATAAATAAGTGGTGGCGAGAAAAGGCCAAGGAGATTGAGCTTTTACACTGATAAACATGACATGAGGAGTTTTTTTCAGGCAATAAAGGCCATTTATGGTCCATGCTCCACCCACGCCGCTCCGAGGCCAAGACGGGTCAACGTATTTTAAGGCGAGCGAAGCCATCAAAGCCAGATGGAAGGAGCATTTTGAGTTGGTCCTGAACTATGAGTCAACTGTCTCTGATGCCACTATTGAATCTAGACCTCAACGACATGAAAGAGAATCTTTTGCTGATCCATCCCCCCACCCCCCAGAAGAAGTAACATGAGCCATTATGCAAACTAAGAACAACAAGGCGGCAGGGCCTGAAGTCTACAAGTTTGGCGGTGAAGAATTGGTAGGGAAGCTCCACAAACTTTTTTCTTCATCTCTGGTATAATGAGAAGATTCCAGAAGACTTGAGAAGCGCTAAGATTGTTACAATCTTTAAAAAAGGAGATAAGTCGGAGTGTGGAAACTATCGAGGCATTGCCTTCCTATCTACAGCAGGGAATATTCTTGCCTGTATCCTCTTAAATCATTACTTCTCCTTGCTGAGGAAATATTGCCGGAATCTCAGTGTGGTTTTAGACCATCCTGTGGGACAACCGACATGATCTGTGTTGCCCGCCAAATCCAGGAAAAGTCTCGAGAGCAAAGTCAGAACCTGTAAGTGGCTTTCATCCATTTGACAAAGGCCTTTGACTCTGTCAATTGTGAAGCCCTGTGAAAGGTACTGGCCAGATTTAGCTGCCCTCCAAAATTTATTAAGGTTGTAAGGCTTCTCCATGATCAAATGACTGCCACGGTTCTCTGAGATGGCCTTGAGATGGCACCTTTTGTCATCAAAACTGGGGTTAAGCAAGGTTGCGTTATTGTCCCAACCCTGTTCTCCATCTATTTAACAATCATGTTGGTCCTCGTTAAAGACCACCTCCCCAATGGAGCTGACATTCAATATAGAATGGATCGGAGGGTCTTTAATCTTCGATGTCTCCACTCAGTCTAAAGTCTTCAGGGCGTCCATTACTGATCTTCAGTATGCTGATGACTCTGTCATCCTCACGCACACTGAGCATGACCTTCAGTCCATACTGGATTTTCTTGCACAAGCTTACCAAAGCCTAGGACTCGCACTCACTATTGGGAAGACTAAAGTGCTCCATCAGCTTGCCTTAGGCCTTGCACATGACCCACCACAAATCACCATTGAGGGTCAGACTTTGGAGACAGTTGAGCACTTTGGCTACCTCGGTAGCCAACTTTCTCAAAACTCAAAAATCGACAGTGAGATCCAGCGCGCAAGGGCTTCCTTTGGGAAATTTCTCCAACGTGTTTTCATGGACCGTGACCTACAGCAGGACACCAAGATCCAGGTCTAGAAGACAATTGTTGTTCCTACACTCCGCTATGGATGCAAAACCTGGGTGACCTGTCAACAGCACCTCAAGAGCTTGGAGAAGTACCACCAATGATGCCTCTGGAAGATCCTTCATGTCAAGTGGGAAGATCGCCGCACTAACACCAACATCCTCGCTGAAGCCAATGTCACCAGCATGGAAGCAGTGATCCTCATGCCCCGACTTCGCTGGGCCGGACATTGTGTGCAAGATGCCAGACTCTCGCCTCCCAAAACAAGCCCTCTCCTCTCAGCTCACCCATGGCCAGAGATCCCGCGGTGGTCAGAGGAAACGCTACAAAGACGTGCTGAAAGCAGATCTCAAGAAAACTGATGTGGACATCACAAGCTGGGAGGAGCAAGCCACTAACCGATCCCAATGGTGCCATTTCCTCCATCAGGCAGTGGCCCGCTTCGAGGAGAAGCGCCTTGCCCTCGAAGCTGAAAAGAGAGAGAAGGAAGGAAAAAAAAGAAAGAACTTTCTCCCAGCAGGCAACTGGCCTGCCACGAAATGTCTGTACCTACTGCGGGTGGATTTGCGGGTCCAGGATCAGACTCTCGAGTCATCTCAGGACTCTCCTATAATTCCGTGGTAGAGATCATCCTCGAATTGAGGGATCACTTAATTTGTTAATAAATTCAGTTTATGTGCTGATGCCCTGAGGGAGATAGTGGTTGAGGTAAAGGAGGTCAAGGGTGTTTTTTTTAAGGTGGGAGAGACTAAAGCATGCTTGTCCTGGGAGGGGAATGAGCCGGAGGTGATAGGGTGGGATAGGGTGGGATAGGGTCACAGGGGCGGGGTAGAGGGCCTGCAGGAAGAGAGAAGATGAGCTCTCAGGTTCAGTGATTGGGGCTGTGAGAGGCAGAGGGGGAAAGGAAGTGGGGACTGGGCGGCAGAGGGATGGAGTTCCACTTGGATCTTGCAAGTTTTCTTCCTGCAGAAGTTAGGAGGATCCTGGGAGGAGGGGGATGTGAGGGAGGGATTAAGGAGGGAGCTGAAGGTGGCTGGGCGGTGAGCATGGTGCACGCTAGGGGCAGAGCCATAGAAGGAGAGGGGATTTGCAGCGGAGCAAGTCCTCCTTGGGCTGGGACATGTGCTAGAGGCCCTCCACTGTGCAACAGCAGGAGTTGAGGAAGTGGATGGTGGGGCTGGGGCAGGGCTGGGGATCTTTGAGCTGGATGAGTGTGGAGAGTCAGTGACCCTCACTGGAGAGGCAAGGAGAGGGCGGAGAGCAGAGAAGTCCTGGCAGTGCTGGGGGAAGTCAGAGGCCGCTGGGTAGCGAGGCAAGTAGAGGGCGCAGCAGGCTGTGTTGGAGCTGAGACACTGGCCAGGCACAGGGGCCTCAGTGAGGGAAGGACCCGAGGGGAGCAGATCAGGCTGGTGCCCGTTTTGGTGGGTGGGAGAGCTGCTCCTAGGCTGTGGTCAGGGAGGTGGGTGGCTAGAGGTCAGACGGGTGGGATTGTGGCACGCAGAAGAGGAGGCGCTAGGAGTCCAGGCCAGAAAGAAAGGTGGCTGAAACGTTCCCGTGGGCAGTAGATGACGGCACCATGGAGGGAGAGGAGAAGAAAGTCAGATGCAGTGTTGGTCTCACTCATTCTCTGTTGTTTGAAGCAGGGTAGGGGGTGTTGGGAGAGGAAGGCTGGCGCCCTCACTCTGCTCCTTAGTAGGGACGGAAGGCGTGACTGCAGTGTTGGGAGAAGTGCAGGTTTCAGTGGGAGCTGGGATTTGCAAGGAGACAGGGTCCTGAATGGCTGTGATCTGTCGGGAGATTGACCAGACTGTACCCCTGTTAAATAGCGTACAGAATAGCCTGCACCTAACGCTTCTTCCTTCAGACTGCAGGGCTGGGGGTGCAGAAGGTTTTCACCTGGGCCAGTGGGTGTTGGGGAACTTTGAGCCCTGACCACACCCACTTCCGTGCCATGCTTCCCCGTGGATCTCCTGGCCACGCTCCCTACCAGATTCTCCCTTTTCCCCGCCATAGATGGGTCAGCTCTCTCGCCCTGTGCGACGCCTGCCCCATGGGTTATGTGCTTATTCATGACGTTCATTGCTCTGCTTGCCTTCTGGGATTTGTTTGAGCATTTCATGTGTCCGTCTTGTGCTGTAGCATTGTACGCCCACCTGTCAGCTGGGCAGACCATATTACCTCACACCCAGTATTGCGTTTACAGTCTAGCCCTCCCTGTCCCAGACTGCACTTGTAATCAGTATTCTGTGACCACTCCTCACGCTCCCTTTCCCCATTCCATTCCATTCCATTCCGCAGTGGTTTCCCTCTCTGAGGCCACGTCCTCACTTGGCCTTGGACCATACTTAGGAATGGTGTTTGGATGTGATTCCAGTTAGCAAGAGTTCACTTGATTTGCCCAGCCCTGTTCCGGTGGGTGTTCTGGCTTAGGTCCCCAGTGTAGACTAGAATGTGTTGCAAAGCATGTTGTGTCTGCAGCCAAACAGAGTTAGCGAGAAGTGCTTAAACGTGCTTTCCACTGTGTTTAGGAACCAAAAGCCATGGTCGATGGTGTCATGCTGTCTGGAGTGGCTCACGAGTGAGAATCGCAACCTCAGGGCACAAACTCCAAACTGGATGTGAGTTTTGTAATTAGATTTCACCAACCAAGTAACAAGTGTAAACCTCGCAGGTCCTCTAACAGCCTTACCATGGAGTCAC